GCCTACGGTCTATTAAAAGGCCGAGGTACTTTACCCGCGCTTGCCAGTCAATCTCCCTTCCAGAGATTCTCACTTTTCTGGCCGGAGAAGATAGTAATCTTCCCATGGTTATCGCCTGAGTCTTTTCCGGGTTTACTCGGATCTTCCAATCGAGGTACCAGCGCTCGAGGTCGTCCAATGCACGTTGCATGTAGACGACGCCGAGCTCCCGCCCCATGGAAGAAGAGAGTAGAGCCGTGTCATCGGCGTACAGGGATATCTTCACTCTTTCGGACCTAGGCAGGTCGCTTGTGTAGAGTGAATACAGCGTCGGAGAGTAGTAGTAACAGATGTGGCAAAACGCATCAAGTTCATGAATACCAAAATTGACAAACTCAATTATGGGTTTCCGCTGAGAGACAATCTGTTGAAAAATTATTTTCCATTTGTACATATCTTTTCTCTTATCATTATTTACAGTTAGCGAAATTCAATCAATTGTATACAGGGTGTCAATTTGAAACACCTTAAACTTATTTTCAAGAGGTAGAATCTGAGACTAAACTATATCCATCCAACAAAGTAACCCAAAAAAAAATTGGTCGTTCCTTGGTGCGACTCTGAACAATCAGCCTTGTCTGGTAGATCACGTGCACTGTGCAAGATAATTTTGCTACTTTTCAATTAAATTTCATCTATCCTCAAACAAGGGCAGGTGAACCCCTGAAATCTCAAATGAAAAGAATAGTTCAGTGATCCCTTATTTCAAAAGTAGTTCAGCTACTTTTTCAAAAATACCACATCCTTGCCTTCTTTTAGTACTTTTGGAAAAATGGAGTAAAACCGTGGATATACTTTAGTAGTTATCTGTGTTTTGCAATTAAACATCAAAAGTTGATGAAAAGTAATCCATCTTATTAGATGTTTGAAATGTCCATTATTTTCTAAACATGAATAAGACCGTTCTCAAAGTCCTCTCTAACATTCCGAAAAACTTTTGCCTGAATGCCTGAATGCACGCATCCGTTATTCTTCCCTTCAAATCTTCCAAATATCTAGACTGTGTTTGATAAAGACTGAATTTTACATGCAACCATAGAAAGAAATCCAGAGGTGATAAGTCGGGTGATTTTAGTGGCCATTCTATTGATCCTCTTCGAGCAATCCATCTGCCAGGAAATATACCATTTAGTCGCTGTCTAACTGGAAGGAAGCAGGGTGGTTGAGCTTCATCTCATTGAAAGTGAATAAGAGTCTTGCAGAATTATGTTGCCAGTCGCAATAATTTGGTTTTCCAAAATAGTTTTAATTGAGAGATATATACATCTTACCAACCCAAACATTCACTTTGTCTAGATACTGTGTATGACTGTAATACCTTCCCTTAACAGTCGCGGATATTCATCGTTCCAGTAGAGACAATTTTGTTTTTAACATGCCCATTAAGAAAAAATGTACACAGATCAGTAAAGCAATTACTGTGTAAAATATTTGGGTTTTCATCTATAAAATTCGTCATTGTTTCACATCATTCCATTCTTTTCACGAAACCGCCTTCATGAAGCTGTTGAAAAATGTTCACTTTGTTTGGGTGAAATTTATTCTTGGCGTGTCAATATTGACTGACACGCCTGAAGAAGCTATTTTGTACAGCGAAACACGTGTTGCGGTTTTGTAATCTGTGTAGTGAACATCTCATTTGGAAAATATCACAAAATTTTAATTGAAAAGGGTAAAAGTAAAAAAGTTAATGAAAAGTCTTCGGCAAAATCAGGAAAAACCACCAAATACGAGCATTCCTTATCATGACAAAGCCAGAATTTTCAAATATTTTGTTTGACTTTCCCCAGCAGTGAACCACTGCTGTTTTGTTTTTTATACAATATTTTCCTCCTTTCATGAAAATGCCCTTGTTCTGCCGGTAATCCAATCGTGCAGAAAGCGAGACGAAAAGATCGTAGATCCGTCGACTTTTTCACGACAATAATCAAGAATAATTGGATTGCGAAAGAAATGAGGTACAGTAATCGCCTTTCTCACTAGATT